GATACGGTTTTTCGACCGTAGGCTCGCCTCGCTCGCTCGAATTGTTTCTGCCCGAGAATTGTTTCTCGAGCGTATCGCGGACAGGGAACGCTCGTAAATTTCGCCGCAGAAGATGAGCGACTCGACGAATCGTAGAGTTATACGTTCCCGAAGCAAACAACCTATCGGGGTTGTTAAAAAAGTAATTGTGCTTGTTGCGTGTAAACGAAAACTCGTACACCGACTCGATACTTTCCGTCGAGTTGCTGCCGCACGGTTCGTCTGCGACTCTTTCCTGCGCTTTGGTCGTATTAGTCGGTGTTGAAAGAATGTTGTTTTACAAAATAGCGGAAATCACCAGCGATAGTACAAGCACCACCGTTGGCAAAAGTGGCCGGGAAAACGGTGTAAGCACATGTCCCGCGAAACCGTTCCACGGTAAACAGTACGTGTCCCGGGGCTTTAATCGACCCGGTTACAAAAGCCTGGTTACGATTCCTCCGTTTCCTTGGGCGAAAAGGGGCAAAACCTATCTTTCGAATGCATCGATGCACAGCGATTTCGACTAACGATGCCTTCCGCTCATTGGTCTTAATCTGAGCCACGAATCACAATCGGCCTCTTCCTAACATGGCCTCGGCCACGACGGAGTAGAAGTCGCGTGTGCCGTTGCCGGTAGATAGCGCAAACAGAAATTCCGTTATACTGCATAAAGGATCGGGCCACTAGCCGCTACTAGACGGGGGAGAAGGTTGGCAGGCATGCGAGCTGCATTCTCCGGTGCTGCTTAACTACTGCGCGAACGAGTTAGCGAGCTGCTAAACGAACGAGCCCGCCGACCAAAGAAATATTCGAAGAGTAAGCGTCCGGCTCCTCTGCTCCTCGTATTTTATCGTCCTCTAATTCATTGTTTTCTAAGCCACGATCTTTTAGCTTTATGCTTCGCCATTACGGTTTATTCTCTGCCGTTCGCTTCCTCGTTCTAGCCTGCCGCGCGGATATCCTTGGGTGCTCGTTCTCTCCTCCGGCAACCCTTCGTTCTTTGCATTTGTTACTTTTTCCCCCCTTCATCGAAAGATTCTAATACACAGGCTTTACGACTATTACATCCCTTTTTTCGCTTTCCTCGTTTCACGTCTCTCCTCTTTTTTGCTGTTTAATAAGCTCTGCGTACCTTTTCAACCGTTCTTGCTACCTTTGCGCTTGCACGCGCGCGTTCAACGACCATCTTCTACCTCTTTTTGCGAATCGGAATTCGAGCACGGATTTCGCGTTTGCACAACGACGGCATCACCGTTTCGCCTAATCGGCTCTGCCGACAACTTTATTCCACCCAAAGTTAATATTCCCCAAGCACTTGCTTGGTCAACGGTCGCAAATTTTGCTCGAAATATTTCGATAAATTTTGCAGAATATTGCGGTTGATTGCAGTGAGGTTTTCGCGTCGATTACCGGTACTAGGAACTGAATATTCATCGAAATGTCAATCGCACCCTTTTGCCTCTGCGCCCCACCCTCGACCGTACATGTTCTTAATCATGTTTCTCGTTGCGTAGATTTTTCTCGGGTGCGTATCGGCTTGTATCGGCCTCCGTTGCGCGCGGCGCGGTTCGCCGTCGAATCGATCTACACGATCGGTTGCGGCGCTCCATTTAGATCGTGCGGCCGTTTCGATTCGCTCGCATAATTCTCGATTCTTTGGCACAGTAGTCGCGGCAGGTTGCGATACCGTGGATTTTTGCTCGACCGGTAAATTATACCTGAACGAAGACCAAAGGAGTCTTTCAACGTAGAAGGTTGAAACGACGTCGCGATGGCGGTGTTTCGCCCGTGATATGTTGTTAAGGGCTTGTTAATTACAAAAGTAGCAGAACAGGATTCGGACCGTGGAAAGAATACGGACTCGTTACTCGCGCGAAGATGCACATCGGCGTCGCTATGCCGTTTCTCTCGTACGACCGACGCTCTATTTTATCCCCTTGCGTCTATCGTGCGCCATAAACGCTTAATAATACCCCGATAAGATAAGTAATTGAATCGAACGAATACATTCTAACGATCGGCCCGAGATACACGCTCGATTATTCTCGGTCGAATTTATCCGTGAGATTTGCAATTCATATTTTCATAGTCGCCAACGCGGTAACCATATACATATAAAGTATTCACGGCGCGCGTTCGCTGACTCGGCGAGAAAGTTTTCTGTTTTTACGTTATACGAGAAAGGTAGGGTGTCCCGATGGAGAATTTTACTTGAATAAAACGATGACCCGTATGGTCGAACCCGGCAATCATCGTTCGTTCATTGCGAATGAAAAATCTTCTTCAAAATACGATTCGCTTGTACAGCGTGTTATCGTCGTTCTTATAAAAGTGCTTGGATTATAACGCGAAGAATTTATCGAGTCGCATTATTTCTCGAAGCTTCGCAAATATTGCTTAATCTCGTTCTCTAATTCGTCGAGCGTAATTAATCAAAAGCAGAATTTATTAGAGTCCGTTCTTTCGCTCGTAGCGGTTCTGCCGCCTTTGTTTGCGTTTTGATCGATGACAGGTGCACTGCTCGAAGAGTAATTAAGAAGTCACGACCGTGGATAATTCTCCGAGAGAAATGTTACTTATTCGACGAAACGATACTTTGGTCGGAAAAGCAGCCTTTTAAACGCGAGGTTCATTCGAGTAAAAATTACGCAATCAAAGTGATTTTCGTATATACGCGGTCGTCAGTGTTTGTCTGGTCGAGGGTTATTCTCTCTCCGGTGAAATAAGATGGAAATCCCGTATAAAATAATTAAACTCGTGCGCGGTTTCTCATCGAGCAAATAACGTACGCAACTATCGATACGACTTTTCGATTGCCAGCATTACTCTGGTCGCCGCGCAACCAGGCTGAAATGTAACTGAAACGTTAGGAAACCGCGATTACAATTATTACTGAAAATGACCGGCGCACAATGCGATCTCCGAATGCCATTAAGGAAACCGCAAAATGCGTTCGTCGTTGCGACACAGTGGGCTAGGTAAGACTCTCGGTTCTTCCATAATTCGCGTAATCGCGATTGTACGTCGGTCCGTGACACATATTCGCGTTATTCATAATATCGCGGCGGTCGGAATCGCTTTGCGTCATATCTGTTGCGCGTCGATTACGCGTGCAATCATAGATATACCGATATCGCTGCTCTCCGACGCTTGCGTATCGATGCGAACATTATTTCGCGCGGTTTAACTCTTACCGACTTTTAAATTGCTGGCATTCTGCTCGACGCGATATCCCACGTCCTTCGACGATCCTTTCTCGATTATTCTGGACCGTACATCGTGGAATCGTGATCATCTCGGCGAGCATCCCGTGGAATTTTACAGAGTCGCGTGCAATTCAATTATGATAATTCGTCGAAAGTTCAAAACTTTCTGTTTCGTGGCAACGGGTTTGGAAATCGGTCGGAGAAGCGGCGGAAGTTTACACGCGTTTCTATCTGAGAACCGATCGATCAACGGAAACGCTTTGTTTTCTCAAAAGCAAATATTTAATGTTTCCACGATCAACAAAGAAAGAGTTAACGCTATAATTACATTTTTACCGTGGATATTATCGATTAGCTGTTACCGAGTATCGGGGGGAACGAGACTTGAATGAAGATGAACAAAAGAAAGAAGCAGAAGGTGTTAGAAACATAAAAATAGAGCATTTTATTGTTCAGTCACAGATTTTTATTCTAATAATATCTTTCACGTTGTCGGGATAGTCTGCAAAACATGATAGCCGCTTGCGAGGAAAGCTAAAGGAAAATTGTTTCACGTTTGTACATTATATTTTCAATTATTTATAGCGGTACTTTAGTTTCCTTGCGTGACGCGCATTTTGAATTCGACGGTCGCAGTTAAGGGGAACTAATTGCACGTGAAGTTTGATTCATCGTTCCCGAGGCAAGATATAAAGCTCCGGCACAGAAATTTCGCTAAAATTTCTTGAAACACGAACACGACGTTCGTTGTAACTAAAAATGTCTTAGTGGCAAGAAAGTGATAGGACTGCCGAATTCAAACAGAGACTTCCCATGGCGATCTCGAATCGAACGAAATCGCGTCGCTCGCTAGCTCGCGAATAACACGCGAAGTCTCCGTAAACGTTCAGGACGAAATAAATAAGAATTAGACGCACGCATAATACTTTACAAGTGGTCAGGCCCACAGACGCAAACTCCGCGTTCCTGGATCAATTGATAGCTACGATTAGGAAGTGGTATCACTGTCAGCTTGCTCGACGCAGAGCCACCCACCCGGGTCGTCGAACGGGTCGCGAATAATTCGCGTCGTCTCGATCGACTCGCAACGATCGCTTCGAATGGTTTTACGATCGCGACCGTTGGCACGTTCACAGGCGGAACGGGCAAGCACCGAGGTTCGAGAATCGTTGTAGATTCTTAAAAGTCCGTGGGTTTATAACGATATGGCGCGCAAAGGTAAACAATTCACATGGCACACAGCGAGCGTGCCGGAGTACGAAGAGTCGCGTCGCGTCGCGCGAGAGCCTCTCGTCCGACGAGATACTTGGCGCACTGCTTTACCCTTAAATTTAACCGTGAGCTCGATCGACACCGAGAACAGTCTTACAAGACGGAATACGGCGACGTATTTACAACGACTTTAAGCTATCTAACAACTCACTGACTCGCTGCAATGCGCAGACACCGGGACGTTAAGTTCTCTCGTATATCCCATTTTCACGAGGAAGCACCTTAAACGCGTGTATATATATGTATATTCACTTCCCTCTCACGTCGATTATCTATTTACAACACACTCTTCTTTCGTTCGCACACTTCATTTTTATTAACATACAAATACATATATATATGTATAAATCCTCGCTGTATTTACACTCTATACGCATCTATGCCACGTTATTGCACCGCAGTGAAACGCACTGTACCGGAAGTCGCGCGCGTATCTCTCGAGAGCCGCGATCGCGCACGCTTGCACAAACAACTACACAGAAGATGAAGATACCACCGCGATCATATGTGCACGGATACGGTGCGCGATCCGTTGGACGTCCTGTTGTTGTGTTGCCGTCGGACCGGCGGCGGCTGCCTCGTCCTCTGCGTGGTCCTTTGATTGTTTGGCACGTCGGGCAGCGCGAATCGCAGTTTCTCCCAAAACAGTTTGTCGCCCCATTGCAAGTACGTGTTGGTCTTTAGATAGAGTCGTATGTCCGGGTCGAGGTCCCGTTGATGAACGTCGCCCACCAGCACCAGGATCAGCCTGCGTCTTCGATCTCTGAGCACCTGGTGGTGGGCCGACTTGAAGTCGAATCGGCACCACTCGGACTTAATGAAGTTCTCCGATAGGACCATGATGGTTCGCCGCGAGGACTCGACCGCCTGGACGATGGTGTCGGCTATGAAGCTGCCGACTGGAAAGTCCCGGTAGTGCAGGCACAGCTTGTACGAGGGATTGCCCATCTCGAGGACGGGCGCGAGCTCCTCGGCGACGAACGCCTCGTCCTTGGAGCTGTAACTGACGAACGCGTCGAACAGCTTGTCCCGATCGTCCCGGTCGACCTCGTGATTCCTGTAAAATATCCGTACGCCGAACCGCGAGTGAAACCAGACGCGCAGCTCTTGTCGAAATACGAACGCCAGCATGCAGATCAGCATCACGAGCAGAGAACCGACCAGCGTCGCGATCAAAACCGGAAGATAATCCTGCAAGGCCTGCTTCTCGATGATGGTTTTTGTGTAGTTACGGTGCGCGTCGTTGTCGACGCTGGCTGTGCCGGTGCAGACCGCGGTGTCGTTGCTCGTCTCGCGATCGACGTTGCTCGCCACGGAGAAACCGAACTCGTTGTCCGCGAACACCTCGTCGCCGAACGCCTCGAACTCCGTCACGTTGTAGACGCAGCGTAACGCGGACGCGTCGGTGACACGCACGTTCGGCTCGCGGATCCACTCGCGGTAACTTTGCAGATAATCGCACTCGCACGACCACGGGTTCCCGGACAAACCGATCTCGATGGATCTGGGCAGCGCCCATACGGCCAGAGTGGTCAGACGGTTGTTCTCGAGCCGGAGGATGCGCAACGAGCGCAGCGACGAGAAGGTGTCGTTGCCGATCGAGAAGATCCGATTCCGTTGAAGGTAGAGTTGCTTGAGCGCGTCCAGTCCCTCGAACTCGTGTCCCCGTAGCTCGCGGATCCTGTTGTCCTGCAGGTGAAGATCCTCCAGGTCTCGTAGCCCATTGAACGACCGATTTTGCACGATCTCGATGTTGGACGAATTGAGAAACAACACTCGGAGCTTCTTGCGGCCGATAAACGCGTGACTGGCCACGACGCGCAGGTCGTTCCCGTCCAAATAGAGTCGCGTCGCGTCCATCGGTATCCGTTCGGGCAGCTTCTGTACGTAACCGCCGTTCGAGCAATCGACCACGTTCGCCGACCACGATTGATCGTGGTAGCACGTGCAGTTCTGCGGACAGGTCATCTCGCAGTCGCAGGCGTCAAAGTCGCAACAGTGGCACAGAGCGAAACAGTGGCTGTCGTACTTGCAGAGGAACTGCGAGTGCGAGGCCTCGACCAGAGGGACGAACATGTGCTCCCGGTCGTAAAGCAGCTCGCAGTAGATGCTCTCCAAATCCATCACGCGCGGTTGCACTCGAGATTGGTTCTGCCTGTTGACTCGTTGCAGCCATTCCATGGTACAGTCGCACAGATACTGATTGTCCCCGATGTAGAACTCCGGCAGAGGCTTCTCCGCCGGCACCGCGCTGATTCTCAACGCGTACGGTTCCAAGTTTCGAATCTGATTCCCCTTCAGGTCGACGCGCGTCAAATTCGGCTTCTTGAAGAACGAGTAGCTCTGCACCTTGGAGATTTGGTTGTCGTTGAGGAACAGCAATTCCACGCTCATCGGTATCGCGTTCCCCGTGATCTCGGTCAGCTTGTTCTCGCTCGCGTCGAAGGTGCTCAACTGTAGCTGACTCTCGATCTCGAAATAGTTGCCCAGCTCTCGTATCTCGTTCGAATGGATGTCGAGCCATTGCAATCCGGTCGGTATCATCGCGTAATCGAACCACTTCAACTTATTGTCGCTGACGTTTAGCCAGACGAGGTTCGACAGATTGGTGAAGAGGCCGGCAATATCCGTCAGTTGATTGCCGTCCAGACGGATCGCCTGAAGGTTCAGATTCTCGTCGAACGTACCGGGTTCGATGTACTGTATGCGGTTCATCGCGAGATTTAATATCTTTAGTTCCTTGATACGATCGAAGACGCCCTTTGTGAGATTCCCGATATGATTTTCGGTTAATCGAAGCCCGTAAAGCTGCGCCACGTGATCGAACGTGCCGGTCGGTATCTCCGAAATGAGATTCTCACCGAGGTCGAGGGTTCGTAGAAGGGGAGTGGCTTTCAGCGCGTCCGGGACGGACTGCAGCTGGTTACGGTTCAGGTGGAACTCTTGCAGGGAGGAGGCATTTCTCAGGGAGCCCGGGTGTATCGTGTGCAGCCGGTTATTGTCCAACGAAAGCAGATTCAGTACGTAGAGTCCGCTGAGCGTGGTGGCGTCGATAACGGTGAGCAGATTGTTGCTCAGCAGCAACGTGTTCAGATTGTAGAGCGCCGAGAACGTGTTCTCCGGCAAACTCTCGAGCAGATTCTCTTGCAGCCGAAGAATCTGCAAGCTGTAGAGGTCGCGAAACACCGTCGGATCCAATCGAGCGATACGATTGTTGGCGAGATCCAGCACCACTAAACGTACCAAACCGGCGAAGGTAGCCGCGTTCACCCACTCGGCGGTCAATTCGTTATGCGACAGATCGAGCACCAACAACTGAGTCAGTTCACTGAACAAACCGGGCGGTAGCACGTTTAACGTATTATTCCTAAGATGAATCTCCTGGATGTTCCTCGCGTCGCTGAACAGTTCCGGCGGCAGGCTGGCCAGTCGATTGTCGGCGAGCCTCAAGATGGCCAACGAGGAGAGGCCCTCGAACGCGCGATCCGCCATGAAGCTGATGGCGTTGCATCGCAGATCCAAGCTTTGGAGCCGCGCGAGACCCGAGAACGCGGCGCTCGGCAACGACTCGATGCTGTTGTTGCTCAGATCCAGTTCCTTGAGGTTCGAGAGGCATCTGGCCGCGCCGTTGAACCGGAAACTCGTCACCTCGCGTAGCCGATTTCTCGTCAAGTTTAGAATCTCGAGGTTTACCAACGGGCAGAGAGCACCCTCGGGGATGCTCCACATGTTGTTTTCCCCGATATCGAGTTTCTCCAATTGTCTGAGCTCGTCCGTGAACGCGCCGGCCGACACGTCCAGCGCCATCGCCGACCAGTCGGTGTTGTGCGTCCTTACGGTCAGGTTACGCAACTCTTTCAGCCCCTTGAACGCGTCGTCCGACAGATTGCCGATTTTACAGTACTCTATCACGAGCTCTCGCAACTCGACCAACGGTCTGAAGCTGCCGGCGCTCAGAGAGCTCTGGTAGAAGAGCGCGTCGCTGCATTCCAGCCGGAGGCGCACCGTGTGCTGCGGTTGAATCACGCTAAAGTTCGTGTTCTCCAGCTCGCTGTTGATGGTCCTCAGACGACAGACCAGCGAGACGTCGTCCTCGGTGTCGCCGGTCGCGACCCACTTGCACTCGTCCGGTGCTTTGTACCTGAGTGCTTTGCTCAGGGACGCGCCGAGGACACCGAATATCGTGCCCAGTAATATGGCGAAGAACGCAGGACTGCCCCGCATCTTTACGCCCGTTCGCTCAATCTTCCATCAACGTATTGTCCGATTCCTCGGCTCCTCGGCCGATCTTCCTATCTGTCGCGAAACCGGCTACGATCCATTTAAGTCTCGGGCCCACCGGATCTTTTACTTCGCTTCGGCCATGTCACTCTCGTATTCTTCGTTTCTCTCGATCGATCTTCTAGCCGTTGACCCGTTTATAATCCTGGTGATTTCATCCTCGAGACGGTATCTCTCGATCGAGATATTACCGAGACACTACCGAAATAAACCGTGCGCGCGTTCCAGGGTTCACCGACCTCCCGACCTCTTCACCGATACACCCTACGAGAAAAATAGCCGAGAATCGCGAAAAGTTACGGGCGTTGATACGCGTATATACGGCTCCGGTAAGACCCACGGTTCTCCGAGGACTGGTTGGCAAGTTGTAAGGCCCGAACTGGCACCGCCACCCTTGCCCCTCCGCCCACCCTGTCCACTCTTCGCGCTCCGCTCCGCTCCGCGCCACGGCGGCCCGCGCCTCCCGTCTCGGCCGTCCTTTCTTCCCCCACCGTGCACACCTTCTCTCCTTCGTCCTCGTCCTCGTCGTCCTCGTCGTCCTCGTCGTCGTCGTCGTCGTCGTCGTCGTCGCCGCCGTCGTCGTCGTCCTCCGTAGCCGGGGCCCGACGTTCTGGCAAGCCTATAAAAACAAGACAGGTACACTCTCCGGGCCCTTACAGTGGCTCCTCAGCATCTGCAGCCTCCATCCAGCACGTTCTTATTTCCTTGTCGCTCCTTCTCTTTTCCAGCTACTCTCCTCTCCCTCTTTCTTGCCAGTTCCCCTAACCCCTCTCGGATCACCGTCGTCCACCCCACCCCCTCGCATCTCGTGTTCCACGGTTCTCACTCGTTCGCTCGCTCTTCCTTTCCCCCTTTCTCTCTATCCCTTTTGCCGTATTGCTGTTCGATTCGTCCGTGAAACCTTGCCTCACCGTCATCTGTTCTCACATCGTTTCTACGATTCTGTCACGAAGAATGAAACCTCGAAAAAGAATGTTTGCCCGATGCCCCTTTGTGCGAATCCCGGTCTCATTCGCATTCCAGTTGTCGCGAGTCCCCGACTAGTATTTTGCAACTAGTCCTTCTTCTTTTTTTTCCCTCCCCGTTCTCTGTTCCCGTCGATTTATAATCTACGCGAGAGCTTGTCACGATCCCAAGTTACACAGGAGGCATTGTTCTTTCGCGCCGATCTACGCAGATTTTTCCACAACTTGGTTATCTTCTCCGCGCACCAGACGTTGATAATCTTGAACAGGGTGTACGCGTGCGCCTATCTCGAGCGAATTACTTTTATCTTTGGATTACGCGTGCTCGTTTCGAAGATCGTGCGAAACGTTATTGCGGATCCGTCAAATAATATACAAAAGGACGAGAAGCAAAAATGTTTGCCACGGTGAATGAACGGTGCCCGGCGGTTGTTCTTTTTGTAAAAGCGCCAAGGCGAAATACTCTTTCCTTTCACGCGTGCTTTTCGGCGCGTCATTATTAGCTTTATGCTCTGTTTGGGATTCGCGCATTCTCGTCCCATTGAGTGTAAAACGATCGGACGCATTGTGTCAAGAATCGTGTGTTAGGGACACGTCGAGTGGTTCCCCACAGTGAACGAGAGAGCCAAGTCCGGGGCTCCTTTCAGAAAACAGTGCTCGGTAGTTCCATCTCCTGCCGTTGAAAAGTGATTTGTTACCTTTATCTGGCCGAACTTGGCCTCCGCATTGGCAGCCCATCCTCCCGGATACGTCCTTCTCGTCGTCCTGCTTTGATTTACTCATCGAAATTCAAATAAGAGGATACATCATTTTCGTCGGCCCAATAAAAGTATCGTTAGCGATACGAAATCCCGTCTTTGTCGTCGCGTTCGATCCGCTCAATTTTTCACCCTGTCGCGCGTCGCGTTAGAAAAGCCCAAAAATTAAACCTTTCTTATAGATTTAATTAGAAACTCCGTCTGTCGCATCAGACATAGCGTAAACATTTTCTGTCGGAGCACCCTGTATACTCGCGGGACAGTTGAGCGAAACGATTCACAATTATGGGACGGCAAGGAGTAACGGAATAACGGATAGAACTCATTGTCATTAATAGCGAGCCGAGAAAATAAACCGCAGCAGGGAAGTGTATCTTCCTAGTGGTGTATTTTATCGAACGGGCACATTGATCCTTATTACAAGATCTTTACCAAGGCCGTGGGCATAAATCGGTATAATATTTCACCTTTCCGCGCAGTTCTCTCTCGCAATGGTAATTGCCCATAGTCTGCATTTTAGTCGTCAATGAGTGCTCGTAACGTTATTGCTCGTGTGTCCGGTGTTTCGCGAATTAACCATATATCACTCGCTGTAAAGCGAGACTGCAACCAGTTAACTGCCTCGATCGCCTCGGGTTCTTTCTCACAATTCCTTCTCATTATACAGAATTCTTCCCCCGTTCTTCCCAGAAAAAGTCATTTGCTTCCACGGAGGCGATGCGATGTTCGCCTACTCGCAGTTCCACTCGATTTCAGCCGCCTTTCGCGCTAGTTCAGAATTTGCTTCCTATTATTTTTAAAACGTGGAAAATTGGGGAAAAATCCGGTACCTTTCGTGTCCTAGGATGTAGTAGAACAAAACGAAAAAAAAAAACAATTCCTCCAAATTATCTTTAAACCTAGTTTACAGAACGAACAACCTGTTCAGTTTCGTTGAATATCGGATTCGTAATTGTTCGAGTTTATAAACGTTGGATTTAATTTGAAATCGTAGTAATTTTTAACCGTATCGTTGATGGAATTGCCGTTTCGAACTCTCCAGAATTCTGTTCCGAAGGTGTTGCGCAACCGCGGGCCAGTTGGAACCAGTGTAAAGAACGAATTCCCATGATTTCTCGGGGATTCGAACCTCCATCGGCACTTTTTTCCCGCTTGTCGGGTTTGATTAGCGACGCGATGTGAATGAGCCTTAAGAAGGAGGATGCCCCGATGGCTGCGCCGCTGAAAGGTGGCTAGCTGGCGGCTGGGATCGGCGAAAGCGGTCAGTGATCGCTGGGGCCTCATGCTCGGGCCCCTCGTTGCTCACGATCGCCCCCTTCCTCCACACTCCTCCCTCTCGGCCTTCTCTTTCTCCTTCCTCCGTGTATTCTCCTCCTACCACGAACGCCCCACCAACCCGCCCCTGGGCCTAGTCTCCTTTCAACGGTGCAGGTGACGGGGCATTCTTTTAAATCTAATCAACTACCGAACCTCGACCCGTTCTATACTGGGTGTATCCGAACGGCTGGCAGCATCCTTAAAAATTTAACGCGTCGATTCGCGTCTCGATCTCTCTATAGACGTTCCATCCTCGTGGGCCTGCGTAACTCGTGGCTGTGGTTTCACGACCGTTTTCACTCTCGCTGCTAACGTCCTTTTAACGGCGTGAACTCGAGTCGTAGAATTTCGCTAGGGAAATACCGATCAATCGATTCGCGAGGAGGTTAAACGTTTGGAACAAAACAACCGGGCCCGGGATCTTTTCAACGAGACTCGATCGCGGTGCGGTTTTACCGGAAGGTTTTATGGGATTTCTTTGCCGGTCAGGTTGAAACGGCAGCCAATTGCTTCTAAGAGAGAAAATTGGCTGGTAATATATCGGAGGAGAGCAGGCAGGTTTCTTGCGAGGAATACGTATATCGTTGGGCACCCTATATATGACCGGTCCACGGACGCACGCGCGTGTCCCCGCGTTCGGGACAGCGAGGCGCACGCGATGACAGAGAGCGTCGACTGGAGGAGACACCCGGCGTCACGCGTCCTGAAATTACGCAATCGGGCCTGAACGTATCGGTCCCGGTCGGATTTCCTTCTTTTTCCGCCGGTGGCTGGTCCGAATCGAGACGCGAACGGAGCTTGCTCATTAGCCACCAACGAGGGAATCGATCAAACGCGTCCGGATCGCGCGGCACAATGCTGTACGAAACTACCGGATTCCGATCGTCGCTTTACCGGTTTGATAAAGACTAATGCGTTACGATAATTCACCGGCCCCTTCGAACCGCGTTATTTATTCATCTGGAATTCAACTTTGACGGCCAAGACCGAACACCAGAGATACCGTCCAACGATTACAAAATGACACTTTGAAAAATTTATAATCCTGCGAGGCGAGCCGATCAGAAATAATTCCATCGCGCACTCGAAGTCACCTGGAAATCGAGCTGTCCCTATCGATAGACCAACACGCTCGCGTCGCTGCATCGGCCCCTTAACTCTTTTAGTCGTTGAGAAAACACTCGTGGAGAGAGCTAAACACTCGACGGATGTCCTTCACCCACAACAAAGATTATCATTAACGATACTCCACTGTATACCGAAGAGAGATGCTCAAACGCTTCGTGGATTCTGCTGTAACGTACGTCGAGTTTGCATCGTGTAATTAAACCGCGGTCTCAGCCTCCAATTACCGCGACTGAAAATTTCAAAACCGGGAGATCGCCTCCGCGATCCAGGCTACGAGCACAACGGTGCACTAGGATGCTGAACCGCAGAACTAGGATGCTCGTAGTGCACTTTCACTCGGGCCCCTGGCTTTTCTTCGTGTCCCGGGTGCAGTCTCGACGTTGTTTATTGTTTTGAGACGGGCACGAAATCACGAACTGCGAGGCAATGCCCACGACGATCACCTGCTAGCTTCGTCCTACATTCTTATCGTCCGAGCATTAAGTCCCGGTCTCTCCGTGCCTTTTTACGCGGAGTTTATTGTTCTTCCCCGAACAACAATGGATCGTAACGATAGCTGCCGCGGCCAAGTCCGTAAAATAATTTTAATTCGACCGTGTGAGAAATAATGAAAGCTGCCGAGGAGTCGAGACAAAAGGTAGAAAGTTCCCAGCTTGCGGCATGAAGCCGTAATTTCAAGAAAACGGAAACTACGCGATAAACGGAGTGGAATTGTACGCCATGCGCTTTCACGATGTGTCGATCGAGAAACGTTCGTCTCCGATTTTAATCTACT